CGCTGCACGTGGTAGCCCGGGACCCGGACCTGGGCGAGGCCGCACGCGTGTCCTATCGGCTGGCATCTGGCGGGGACGGACACTTCCGGCTGCACTCAAGCACTGGTGAGGGTTAGGTTGAGGGTGAGGGCGAGGAAGGTGCTGATGTGGAGTGTTGAGGTCCCCACCAACCTGCCTTACCGCTCACCTAGGAGCGCTGTCCGTGGTGCAGCCGTTGGACCGCGAACAACGAGCTGAGCACCTACTGACAGTGGTGGCCTCAGACCACGGCTCCCCGCCGCGCTCGGCCACTCAGGTCCTGACCGTCAGTGTCGCTGACGTCAACGACGAGGCGCCTACTTTCCAGCAGCAGGAGTACAGCGTCCTCTTGCGTGAGAACAGCGCGCCTGGCACATCTCTGCTCACCTTGCGAGCAACCGACCCCGACCTGGGTAAGACCTCGGGGGATGAATTATGAGTGGGATGGACTGGGGCAAGAAAGAGCGTTTTTACCCTCTGATCGCCCTCCATGCTGTCCCTCCTCAGGGGCCAACGGGCAAGTGACTTATGGAGGCGTCTCTAGCGGAAGCTTTTCTCTGGATCCTGACACTGGTGTTCTCACGACTCTTCGGGCCCTTGATCGAGAGGAGCAGGAGGAGATCAACCTGACAGGTACATGTTGACAGCACCCCAAAAGCCTGAGTGAGGTGTTGTAAACACCAGTATTACCTGGACAGCATACCCAAAGTACTACCTTCTAGAAGTTTTTGCCTAATGCCACAAAACTCCTGTTACGTTTTTGGACCCTTTTGGGGAGTCAAGAGTTTGGCGGGGTGCAAGGTGAACTGACTTCTAGACTGCCACAACTGTGACCATACAAATTCTAAAATGCATAATGTCACAGCTATGCCCTCCTGGCCTCCCTCAGATACTGCAGTCATTTAACAGAGAAGCATATTGATACTGAATATTGGAGAGGTCAAGTGACTTGCTCAAGCTCATGCAGCTTGGAAGTGGCAGGGCTGGGACTTGAACCCAGATCTTTTCATACCTCATTTAGTGCCTTTCCTGTTACACCACCACTAGTCCAAGATATATCTTGCATGCACCAAGCATGGGAGGTAGGACACATGTATGTTTATGTATGCATGACACATGTGTGCCTGGGAGGTATGGAGAGATGGACATTTTCTGGTTTGTGTGCATCGAATGAACATATATGACCACTATGTGGTGTGGATTTCTCCATGTGATGAGAGCAGACTAGACTTCATTGATTTTGCTTTCCCACAGTGTATGCCCAGGACAGGGGCTCACCTCCCCAGTTAACTCATGCCACCATTCGAGTGGCTGTGGAGGATGAGAATGACCATGCACCAACCTTTGGGAGTACCCATCTCTCTCTGGAGGTGCCTGAGGGCCAGGACCCCCAGACCCTTACCATGCTTCGGGCTTCTGATCCAGATGTGGGAGCCAATGGGCAGTTGCAGTACCGCATCCTAGGTGAGAACCTTCCCACTCCCACTAACTCAGCACCCACTTGCCTGGTTCTTGCTCCTCCTTGGCTGCTGTCAGCCTCAGTGCATGTGTCTGGGTCTCCTTTTCCCTCATGATATCGTCCACCTTTTCTTTCATGCTTATACCCAGTGTATCTGGGTATCTCTTTCCATGCCCTTTATCTCCCTGTGTGTCTCTGTTTCTATCTTCCTATTTCTTTTCTTTCTCATTTATTTCTCCCTGTAGAGCAGTCGTTCTCAAACTTTTTGGTCCCAGAAACCCTTAACACTCTTAATTTTTGAGAACCCTAAAGAGTTTTTATGTGGATTATATTAGTATTTACTGTATTAGGTAATAAAACTGAGATGATGTTAAAATATGATTGTGAAACAAGCCAATGAAGTATACAGCTTGCCGGTATTTCTGTGTAAGCACAAGGAAATACTAAGATTTCAAGTAACAGTTTGTTGGACAGTAATTAATTTCAGAGATTAAAGCAGGTGTAACTGAAGATAGCCAGACCAGACTGAATCTCTGAAGACACACACATTCATGCTCTAAACTTTCTATCTAGAAAATTCTAGAAAACACAGGAATACATAAGCACACATTGCATTAACCAAGACATTATATCATCACATGTCATAGAGCATCTGCAAATTCTACTGTACATCTGTGAGATAATGAGAATAAAAAGGCTATATAATGGCTTAGTAGTGCTATGAAATAATTATGATCTTATGCATATGAAAAGGACCTAGGGGACTCCTGGGGTTCCCAGACCACACACAGATGATACCAGCTGCTTTATAGTATTTTCTGTTACTTTCCATTTCTTTTTTTCTGTTTTTCTTCCTTTCCTTCATAAGTTCAGTTGCTTTTGTGCACATGCTCACTCTCTCTGCTGTTGTCTGTAAATCACCCCCATCCCCATGACACATGTATATTTATATGTGCATGCCCTTCTCTGCAGATGGGGACCCATCAGGAGCCTTTGTCCTAGACCTTGCTTCTGGAGAGTTTGGCACCATGAGGCCACTAGACAGAGAGGTGGAGCCAGCTTTCCAGCTGAGGATAGAGGCCCGGGATGGAGGCCAGCCAGCTCTCAGTGCCACGCTGCTTTTGACAGTGACAGTGCTGGATGCCAATGACCATGCTCCAGCCTTTCCTGTGCCTGCCTACTCTGTGGAGGTGCCGGAGGATGTGCCTGCAGGGACCCTGCTGCTACAGCTACAGGCTCATGACCCTGATGCTGGAGCCAATGGCCGTGTAACTTACTACCTGGGTGCCGGTACAGCAGGAGCCTTCCTGCTGGAGCCCAGCTCTGGAGAACTGCGCACAGCTGCAGCCTTGGACAGAGAACAGTGTCCCAGCTACACCTTTGCTGTGAGTGCAGTGGATGGTGCAGCTGCTGGGCCCCTAAGCACCACAGTGTCTGTCACCATCATAGTGCGTGATGTCAATGACCATGCACCCACCTTCCCCACCAGTCCTCTGCGCCTACGCCTGCCCCGCCCAGGCCCCAGCTTCAGTACCCCAACTCTGGCTCTGGCTACACTGAGAGCTGAAGATCGTGATGCTGGTGCCAATGCTTCCATTCTGTACCGACTGGCGGGCACACCACCTCCTGGCACTACTGTGGACTCTTACACTGGTGAAATCCGTGTGGCCCGCTCTCCTGTAGCTCTAGGCACCCGGGATCGTGTCCTATTCATTGTGGCCACTGATCTTGGCCGTCCAGCTCGCTCTGCCACTGGTGTGATCATTGTTGGACTGCAGGGGGAAGCTGAGCGTGGACCCCGCTTTCCCCGGACTAGCAGTGAGGCTATGATTCGTGAGAATGCACCCCCAGGTGGGTTTGCAGCCATTTCTCCCAGATTCGAACTCCCAAATGGGCTGGGGTTGCCCATTGAAAATGTCCCCCAAACTCTCCCAGTCTCACGCTCGCAGTCCAACAATACCATTCTTTCTGCAGGGACTCCTATTGTCTCCCCGAGGGCTGTCCATGCAGGAGGCACAAATGGACCCATCACCTACAGCATTCTCAGTGGAAATGAGAAAGGGACATTCTCCATCCAGCCTAGTACAGGTAAGGAATAGGAGCAGGGGCTCTGTGCGGGACAGGCTACTGGGGAAGCAGGTTCTTTGCATCAGAGGAGCCTTTGATGGGTGAAGGGCTATCCTTGAGTAACGGGTCTCAGAGAAGGAGGCTCCAGGGCAAGCAAAGGGAGCTGTCACTGATGCATTCTGCCTCCCCCAGGTGCCATCACAGTTCGCTCAGCAGAGGGGCTGGACTTCGAGGTGAGTCCACGACTGCGACTGGTGCTGCAGGCAGAGAGTGGAGGAGCCTTTGCCTTCACTGTGCTGACCCTGACCCTGCAAGATGCCAACGACAATGCTCCCCGTTTCCTGCGGCCCCATTACGTGGCCTTCCTTCCTGAGTCCCGGCCCTTGGAGGGGCCCCTGCTGCAGGTGCGGGGTGTGATGGAAAGATGGGGGAGCAGGGCTAGTCAGACTTGTCTGTGGCCAGACCAGTCCCAGCAGCCTCCTACCCTCACCAGGTGGAGGCAGATGACCTGGATCAAGGCTCTGGAGGACAGATTTCCTACAGTCTGGCTGCATCCCAGCCGGCACGTGGATTGTTCCACGTAGACCCAGCCACAGGCACTATCACCACCACAGCCATCCTGGACCGTGAGATCTGGGCCGAAACACGGTGAGTCCTGGCCCTGTGGACCCAAGACCCTATCTTGGACCTGTCCAGTTTAAAGCCCTGCTTTGAACCCACCTCAGTCCCTTGGCCACATCCTGAATTCCCCAGCCCTAAGATCTGTCCTGAGTCCTCCTGGCCCTGCCCAGAGTTCCCCCTTATTGCCATGCCCCACCCGATGATTGTGCTTTGTACCCAGGTTGGTACTGATGGCCACAGACAGAGGGAGCCCAGCCCTGGTGGGCTCAGCTACCTTGACGGTGATGGTCATCGACACCAATGACAACCGCCCCACCATCCCCCAGCCCTGGGAGCTCCGAGTGTCAGAAGGTGAGACTGGGTAAAGTGGGTGGCATAAAGGGTGGCAGAAAGACATTTTTCTCCACCCTGCGGCTCAAGGTGGGGCTGTGTCCATGCCAAACACATTTGTCTCGTGTATTTCAGATGCGTTATTGGGCTCAGAGATTGCACAGGTAACAGGGAATGATGTGGACTCAGGACCGGTGCTGTGGTATGTGCTGAGCCCATCTGGGCCCCAGGATCCCTTCAGTGTTGGCCGCTATGGAGGCCGTGTCTCCCTCACGGGGCCCCTGGACTTTGAGCAGTGTGACCGCTACCAGCTGCAGCTGCTGGCGCATGATGGGCCTCATGAGGGCCGTGCCAACCTCACAGTGCTTGTGGAGGATGTCAATGATAATGCACCTGCCTTCTCACAGAGCCTCTACCAGGTATTGACACCCCTGGATCCACCTTCACCTGGGCCTGGGTTGTTCTTATTGGAGGCAAGTATCAGAGCTAGCAGCTGCTGAGGTGGGCTGGATGTTGGAGCTGATCTGGGAATGGGAAGGTCCCAAGTCCTGTGAACTACATCCTGGTTTTGCATCCTGTACCCACAAAGGGGAGAAGGTGGGCATTTCCCATTCGAATACTTAGGAGTAGGGGCTCCGAGTATTCCAAGTATTGGAATGGACGCCAAGCAGGGCTCAAGGAAGCAAGCTCAAGAACAGGCTGCATGGACAGCAGGGCAAATGGGAAGCCTGGCCATAAGCACTTCTCCTCACACTTCAGGTAATGCTGCTTGAGCACACACCCCCAGGCAGTGCCATTCTCTCCGTCTCTGCCACTGATCGGGACTCAGGTGCCAATGGTCACATCTCCTACCACCTGGCTTCCCCTGCTGATGGCTTCAGTGTTGACCCCAACAATGGTGCGTCTTTCCCAGGATCTGCCCCTTGCCTTTGACTGTGTTAGGCTATAATCTGACCTCATTCCTTGAATTTGTTACTCAAACTCTGTAACTCCTAGATGTCTGGCCCAGGGAGGACATTTCCTCCCCTCTGTCTTCATTGTAAGCCCCTTGTTGAGTGCATGTCTAGAAGCTGTTCCCTAAGCTGTGAAGCCTTGAGGCCATCCCCTTGTCTCCCAGCAGATAGGCCATTCCCTGAGTCTGACTTTCAAAACCATTTCCTAGATCCTGAAGGGTCACTCTTCTGTTCACTCACAGCCTTTGTTGAGTATGTTTCTTTCTCTTCCATTCTCATCTCAGGGACCCTGTTCACAATAGTGGGAACAGTGGCCTTGGGCCATGACGGGTCAGGAGCAGTGGATGTGGTGCTGGAAGCACGAGACCACGGGACTCCAGGCCGGGCAGCACGAGCCACAGTGCATGTACAACTGCAGGACCAGAACGACCATGCCCCGAGCTTCACATTGCCACACTACCGTGTGGCTGTGACTGAGGACCTACCCCCTGGCTCCACTCTGCTCACCCTGGAGGCTACAGATGCTGATGGAAGCCGCACCCATGCCGCTGTGGAGTACAGCATCATCAGTGGCAACTGGGGCCGAGTCTTCCAGCTGGAACCCAGGCTGGCTGAGGCTGGGGAGAGTGCTGGACCAGGCCCCCAGGCACTGGGCTGCCTGGTGTTGCTTGAACCTCTAGACTTTGAAAGCCTGACACAGTACAATCTAACAGTGGCTGCAGCTGACCGTGGGCAGCCACCCCAAAGCTCAGTCGTGCCAGTCACTGTCACTGTACTAGATGTCAATGACAACCCACCTGTCTTTACCCGAGCATCCTACCGTGTGGCAGTACCTGAGGACACACCTGTTGGAGCTGAGCTGCTGCATGTAGAGGCCTCTGACGCTGACCCTGGCCCTCACGGCCTCGTGCGTTTCACTGTCAGCTCAGGCGACCCATCAGGGCTCTTTGAACTGGATGAGAGCTCAGGCACCTTGCGACTGGCCCATGCCCTGGACTGTGAGACCCAGGCTCGACATCAGCTTGTAGTACAGGCTGCTGACCCTGCTGGTGCACACTTTGCTTTGGCACCAGTGACAATTGAGGTCCAGGATGTGAATGATCATGGCCCAGCCTTCCCACTGAACTTACTCAGCACCAGCCTGGCCGAGAATCAGCCTCCAGGCACTCTCGTGACCACTCTGCATGCAATCGACGGGGATGCTGGGGCTTTTGGGAAGCTCCGTTACAGCCTGTTGGAGGCCGGGCCAGGGCCTGAGGGCCGTGAGGCATTTGCACTGAACAGCTCAACAGGGGAGTTGCGTGCACGAGTGGCCTTTGACTACGAGCACACAGAAAGCTTCCGGCTGCTGGTGGGTGCTGCCGATGCTGGGAATCTCTCAGCCTCTGTCACTGTGTCGGTGCTGGTGACTGGAGAGGATGAGTATGACCCGGTATTTCTGGCACCAGCTTTCCACTTCCAAGTGCCTGAAGGTGCCCGGCGTGGCCACAGCTTGGGTCATGTGCAGGCCACAGACGAGGATGGGGGTGCTGATGGCCTGGTTCTGTATTCCCTTGCCACCTCTTCACCCTATTTTGGTATTAACCAGACTACAGGTGCCCTGTACCTGCGGGTGGACAGTCGAGCACCAGGCAGTGGAACAGCCACCACTGGGGGTGGGGGCCGGACCCGGCGGGAAGCACCACGGGAGCTGAGGCTGGAGGTGATAGCACGGGGACCTCTGCCTGGTTCCCGGAGTGCCACAGTGCCTGTGACCGTGGATATCACCCACACCGCACTGGGCCTGGCACCTGACCTCAACCTGCTATTAGTAGGGGCTGTAGCAGCCTCCTTGGGAGTTGTGGTGGTGCTTGCACTGGCAGCCCTTGTCCTAGGACTTGTTCGGGCCCGTGGCCGCAAGGCTGAGGCAGCCCCTGGCCCAATGTCACAGGCAGCACCCCTAGCCAGTGGCTCACTGCAGAAAGTGGGCCGGGAGCCACCTAGTCCACCACCCTCTGAGCACCTCTATCACCAGACTCTTCCCAGCTATGGTGGGCCAGGAGCTGGAGGACCCTACCCCCGTGGTGGCTCCTTGGACCCTTCACATTCAAGTGGCCGAGGCTCAGCAGAGGCTGCAGAGGATGATGAGATCCGCATGATCAATGAGTTCCCCCGTGTGGCCAGTGTGGCCTCCTCTCTGGCTGCCCGTGGCCCTGACTCAGGCATCCAGCAGGATGCAGATGGACTGAGTGACACATCCTGTGAGCCACCTGCCCCTGACACCTGGTATAAGGGCCGAAAGGCAGGGCTACTGCTGCCAGGTGCAGGAGCCACTCTCTATCGAGAGGAGGGGCCCCCAGCCACTGCCACAGCCTTCCTGGGGGGCTGTGGCCTGAGCCCTGCACCCACTGGGGACTATGGCTTCCCAGCAGATGGCAAGCCATGTGTGGCAGGTGCACTGACAGCCATTGTGGCCGGCGAGGAGGAGCTCCGTGGCAGCTATAACTGGGACTACCTGCTGAGCTGGTGCCCTCAGTTCCAACCACTGGCCAGTGTCTTCACAGAGATCGCTCGGCTCAAGGATGAAGCTCGGCCATGTCCCCCAGCTCCCCGTATCGACCCACCACCCCTCATCACTGCCGTGGCCCACCCAGGAGCCAAGTCTGTGCCCCCCAAGCCAGCAAACACAGCTGCAGCCCGGGCCATCTTCCCACCAGCTCCTCACCGCTCCCCCATCAGCCATGAAGGCTCCCTGTCCTCAGCTGCCATGTCCCCCAGCTTCTCACCCTCTCTGTCTCCTCTGGCTGCTCGCTCACCTGTTGTCTCACCATTTGGGGTGGCCCAGGGTCCCTCAGCCTCAGCACTCAGCACAGAGTCTGGCCTGGAGCCACCTGATGACACGGAGCTGCACATCTAGCTGTGGCCCAGGCTGGGCCCCGACCTGGGATGCGCATAGTGTCCCCAATGCAGGTCCCACTCTGAGCCTGCCCTGGGCAGCCTCGTACTATGACTGGCTACGGGGAGGCCACCACCAGGCCCCAGCTCTCCACTCTGAACTCCCCAGCCCCCTCAGAGCACTAGGACCATAGAAGTCCTGTTGGTCACTGACCTGTGACCAGATCCAATGTGGGGAGAAATATGAAGGAGGTAGCAGCCCTGGGTTCTCAGTGAGGGCTCCCTGCCCTGCACCAGCACCCTGAGATGGAGCTGAGACTTTATTTATTGGGGGTAGGGGGATGGAGGAGGTCCCTCCAACATGTTTGGACCCAGCTCCTTTGGGTTCCACTGACGCCCCTGCCCCTGCCCCTGCCCAGAACCAAGTGCCAATTCTCACTCTGGAGCCTTAATAAACTGCAATTTGTATCCAGTCTCCAGCTTTGTTCTATAGGGATGACTGGAAGACACCTGGCAGAGTATTGTGGATACCTCAGGAGGCACAGAGGGGTGGTGGGGTGGGGATGGCACTGGGAGCTCAGGAGCCTAGCCTGAGGCTGATGATCACATCTCTCTGCAGCTAATCTTTTCCTTCTAATATGGGCAAGAGGCCAGCAGGGCCTTGAGAGGGATCAGTTGGGTGTGAAAGGGGATCTTGGGGATGACCAGCTCTAGGCCCGAAATTCTTTTTTTAAAATAAGTCGGGGTGGGTACAAGAGCAGTCAAGGGGTTTATTTGTTTTTCTTGGGGCCACTAAATATCCACATTGTAATAATAGCTCAATTTGTTGAGCCTTTGTCATGTCAGGCTTTCTGCAGGTGGCTGTCTTGCTTCATCTCAGTGTAAACTTTCACAGTCATACAAAGGGATTTGGGAACCACTGGTGTAGACCATTCTTTGGGGGAGCCAGGCTGTGAGGGAAAGGCGATTGGCCAATATTTGAGAAGTTCATGGGGCTGAGGAAATTAGAAAAAAAAAAAAAAGTGGTCAAAGAGAAATGTTTCTGAGCATGATGCTAGTAAACACAGCTCTAGGATCCAAGCTTAGTGGGAAACTGGAGGGATCAATGGACAGGAGGAAGTCAGATTAATAGGAGTGAGGAAAAACAATAGCTTGAAAAAACAGAAGGTTATAGTCTAAGAAAGGATTCTATGATTATAATTTCAAAGGTAGAGCAGTTTTGAGAGATAGCAAGCCCAAGTGTAGCCATGGGACTGGTTTGCTTCAGTGAAGTGAAGGTAATGCTCCTTGGGTTTAATGAGATGAAGAAATGGAAGGTTAGGGTGTTGAATGGGTCTTTTACCTAGATAATTTGATCATCTAGGTCAAATGATCGCAGGAATTGGGATGGAGAGAAAAGTGAAGTGCCGTAATCTTCAGCGTGGGAATATGATCTATAGGTTAATGGATGTCAGTGGCCTGTAGGACAACAGCAAGAGTAGAGGGATCTATCTAAAAAGTATTGAGGTCAGAACAAGGGATTTTACATGAGTATAGGATTAATGGTTTTAGAAGTTAAAATGACACTGCTGACACCATCTTCCATATGGATTTTTTGGGGAAAAAAATACTTAGGAAGACTGGAAGGGAACTGAATCCTCAGGGTTTTAACTCTCATTGAAAATCTTGTAATGACCCCAATTCGAAGCAGTAAACTCAGACCTTGTGGGCTTTGAGTTACCATTAGAAAGAAGCAAAGGTCTGTTTCCATTTTATCCACCTGAGCCCACTAAACAAGATGCAAGATTCCTCCGTGGCTCTTGGAACAAAGTTGATTTCCTTGAAAACCTTGGGAACCCGTAATAAACAGGACCTCAGCTGATTTTAGATCTCCTGGGAAGCTACTTAAAACTGGAAACTGATTTGAATAAAAGGATCCTGATCTTGCAAAAGCTCTACTCTGTTCATAAATGTAGTCCTAAAATGAACACAAAATTGATAATATGGAGACATAGAGGATAAAGGAGGAAAAAATTTTTTCACTGCAATATTTCAAGGCAGATCACTTTTATATAAGTCTCCATATTGTAAATGCAGAAACCTAGGCTCTGAGAGGTTATTTTGCTGATATCATATGGCTAGGAAGAACCCCGGTCTGTGGGTCGCTAGAGCCTACTCACTTGTGGTGATTCCCAGGGGACCAAGCTCAGGATGCAGGTGGGGAGCACTGGGCTTACTCAGCACTTGACCGGCCAGAGGGGAGAATCCGAGTGGCAGCACCACCCTTGCCTAGCATTCAGGACCACCCACGCAAGGGAGGAGCCAGCACCGTCACTAGTTACTAGGCAGAGGGTTAGTGGTGGTGGACTATAGGGTTCATGTGATCTGTCACATGATAGCAGATCTGCGGAAGGGCAGAATGGGACTCCAAGCCTGGTGAGAAATTGAGAGGGCTGGGGAGAAAGGGATCACGTTGGGGGGAGCACACATTGGGAGGGTGGGAACACAAGGACAATGTAGCTCCCACTGAAACCCACCTGCTGCCCTTACAGCCTCCTAGGGCTCTTTGCCCTCATCCTCTCTGGCAAATGCAGTTACAGCCCGGAGCCCGACCAGCGGAGAACGTGAGTTGACTTAGCACAGCCCACCCCCTTCCCCATACCCTGTTCTGCCTCTCACTGTCCTGGTCCTAGCTTCTCTCACCCCCATGCCAGCTCCTAGTACACACTCCATAGTTTCATCTCTAGGTTCCTAGGCTCAGTCCCCTATCATTCACCTCATGTGATCTGTATCTGCTCCTAGGATCCTACCCAAGGTCTCAGCTCCTAATCTGGAACCTTCCATGACCAATATTTTCCATCTCTACCCTAACCAAAGCCATGTCCCTGACCCCTGACCCTACAGGCTGCCCCCAGGCTGGGTGTCCCTGGGCCGTGCGGACCCTGAGGAAGAGCTGAGTCTCACCTTTGCCCTGAGACAGCAGAACCTGGAAAGACTCTCGGAGCTGGTGCAGGCTGTGTCGGATCCCAACTCTCCTCAATACGGTGCCTTTTGGGACTGAGGACAGGATGTGGGATGCAGTGGAGGGACACAGGGCTGGGTTGGGCATGGGATGGTGATCATGTCAGGGCCTGACAAGACACTTGTGTTCCTCAGGCTAGAAACCTAAAAGGGGATGTGGTTCAGCATATAGGCTTTATGATCAAATATGAACTCAAATTCTGACTCTGCTACTTACTAGCTACCAGGCAAATGGGAAAATAGCATCTAGTACAACTTAAGTTCCTTCCCCTACCCTCGAATCCATTCTAATTTCTTCTGTTCACATACTAAGGCTGCCAGTTCTAACTCCCAAAGAGCCTTTGGATTAGTTTACTTCTTGCTGTCCTTTGTTACTACCAACTCACTCATTTATTCCCACTCCTGGACTACTGCCCAGCTCCCCAGCTGATCTGCAGTCTCCTCCCTCCACCCCACCCCTCACTGTACTCCCCCACTCTGCTTCAAAAGTCTCTCCAACAGTCAGAATGGATTGGTTCCTTCTCCTGGTTAAAGCCCTTCACAGCAGGGGGAGTGTGCACATGTGAACTGCAGAGGCTGGGGACAGGGCTATGTGACACTAGTATGCATGGCAGGAAACAGTGACTCACCATCGTGTTAAGCTTAAAATCAACAAGTATGCAAATTTGAGCTAAACTGGATAACTAGTGCCAAAAGATTTGAAAACATTTACTGGACATAAGCTTAAAATTAAAATGGAAAATTTATATGTATTAATCTCATTGATTTTCATGATCATGGCAATACATGCTGTGGTGCGACATTTGCAACTTACTGGCCTTCAGGGTAAATCCATATTCTTGGCCATGGCATTTCAAGTCTCTCCAGCCTTTTCTTCTTCTGCTCCCCAAGTACACCCTACACCTGCACGCACAACCCTCCTTTACCCTGATCCAGGCTTTGGGAAGTCCTGATGTCTCATAGTCGAGGTCCAAAACGGGGAGTTTGGGAAAGCAATGAATGAGGGCAAGTGCCTCTTCTGAATCCCTGCAGGAAAATACTTGACCCTAGAGAATGTGGCTGATCTGGTGAGGCCATCCCCACTGACCCTCCACACGGTGCAAAAATGGCTCTTGGCAGCCGGAGCCCAGAAGTGCCATTCTGTGATCACACAGGACTTTCTGACTTGCTGGCTGAGCATCCGGTGAGAGGAAATGATTTCTCCATGGAGGGCACCAGTCATCCCCTCAGTGAGATGGATGGGAGGGAGTTGAGAGCTTGCTGGGGCTTGTGGGTGGGAACTGATGCATGGGGAGACAGTGACTGACTGCCCAGGGATGCTCAGAGGCAGCTTCTTCTGTTCCGTTTTGAGCTTTCTGACCTCTGTTTTCTGACCTCCAGGCAAGCAGAGCTGCTACTCCCTGGGGCTGAGTTTCATCACTATGTGGGAGGACCTACAGAGACCCATGTTGTAAGGTCCCCACGTCCCTACCAGCTTCCACAGGCCTTGGCCCCCCATGTGGACTTTGGTAACACCTATGGGGTGAATGGGGGTTGGGGCAGACAGATCCAGGGGCTGGGGAAGTTTAGATGCCTTTGGAGACTGAGGGTAGGGTGAGTAGTAAGGTGGGCATTACAGTCTATAAGATTTCCTCAAGCCTGACTTCTCCCTACAGTGGGGGGACTGCACCGTTTTCCCCCAACATCATCCCTGAGGCAACGTCCTGAGCCGCAGGTGACAGGGACTGTAGGCCTGCATTTGGGGGTGACCCCCTCTGTGATCCGTAAGCGATATAACTTGACCTCACAAGACGTGGGCTCTGGCACCAGCAATAACAGCCAAGCCTGTGCCCAGGTGAGCCAAGCAAAGAGCCCCAGGGTCCTCAGAGCCTCCACACAGTGCCCTCAGTGCCTTGCCACACTGGGACTCACCCTCAGACCCACGACCTCTGCTCTGACTCCCTCCATAGTTCCTGGAGCAGTATTTCCATGACTCAGACCTGGCTCAGTTCATGCGCCTCTTCGGTGGCAACTTTGCACATCAGGCATCAGTAACCCGTGTGGTTGGACAACAGGGCCGGGGCCGGGCCGGGATTGAGGCCAGTCTAGATGTGCAGTACCTGATGAGTGCTGGCGCCAACATCTCCACCTGGGTCTACAGTAGCCCTGGTACTGCCAAGAGGACTGGACGGTGGGGAAGAGGGTGGGAGATGGGTATTGATCCCTGCCCCCTCAAGGGAATGCTGTAAGCTGGAGAGAGATCCTGACAACCCCCAATGACTATCTTTGTGCCCATCCCTCAAACAAAAATAATAATCCAGGCCGGCATGAGGGACAGGAGCCCTTCCTGCAGTGGCTCATGCTGCTCAGTAACGAGTCAGCCCTGCCACATGTGCATACTGTGAGCTATGGAGATGAGGAGGACTCCCTCAGCAGTGCCTACATCCAGCGGGTCAACACGGAGCTCATGAAGGCTGCTGCTCGGGGTCTCACCCTGCTCTTCGCCTCAGGTGACCTCCTACCCTAAACTTAGACAACGCTTCCACCCCTGCAACCTGGGAGCTTTGACCCCACAGTGACCCCTGAGCCTGGTCTCTGACTCATAATCTGAACTTAGACCTTCCAACAGGGACCACTGACCTAACCTCTACACTCTGACCTCCTGCAGTAACAGCTGACACATAAATTTCCTCTCTGACATCTGAACCCACATACTAAGCCCTGACCAATTAATATGAGTGCTACACTTGGTCTCTCTTAGGTGACAGTGGGGCCGGGTGTTGGTCTGTCTCTGGAAGACACCAGTTCCGCCCTACCTTCCCTGCCTCCAGGTAAGTACTCTAGCCTACCACTCAAGTATAACCACCACCTTTCACTTGTGATCTCATGATGTAGAACCATTGTCTTGACCCCACCATGTGCTCCTGTGGTGCAGCCTTAAGCTTTGCCTGCCCTGGTTGCTGCACTCCTGTCTCTTCTTCCTGTAGGTCCCAGGCCCCAAATCTCTTGTGTGGGATACAGCTCCCATTGTTCCTTTTCCTCAGTCCCCAGGCATTTTAGTGGAAGATTTGGTGGATGTTCTGTAGAGAAACGTGTGCACAGTCACCTCGGACCATGCCTTGAAGGCTCAAAATCTCTTAGTCAATCCTATGTAGATGCTTCCCCATAGAGTCTAGTTCCTCCAGCAAGATCTGGGCTATACTCACCCCTCCCCACATATCTTGGAGGTCCCCTTGGGTCCCCTACTATCTGAATGCTGTCTTCTCCCCTCAGCCCCTATGTCACCACAGTGGGAGGCACATCCTTCCAGGAACCTTTCCTCATCACAAATGAAATTGTTGACTATATCAGTGGTGGTGGCTTCAGCAATGTGTTCCCACGGCCTTCATACCAGGTACATGTGTTTATGTGCATAGATGCAGGGTAAGAGTGAGGATGGGGGATTCTCAGTTCAGCTGACTGCTGGGCAGGCCACATGCCAATACTCACTCAAAAATGCCTTTCAGGAGGAAGCTGTAGCCAAGTTCCTGAGCTCTAGCCCCCACCTTCCACCATCCAGTTACTTCAATGCCAGTGGCCGTGCCTACCCAGATGTGGCTGCACTTTCTGATGGCTACTGGGTGGTCAGCAACAGAGTGCCCATTCCATGGGTGTCCGGAACCTCGGTGAGAATCAGCTCATCTCCAAACTCTCACTCAGGAACTACCCTTACCCCCTAACACCTTGAGTACCTTGCATCCAGAACCCCTGACTCCTTAGAGATGTCTGATACTTTAAAGCATCACCGTCAAAAAGTCCAGTCACTCTGAACCCCTGACCTTTACTTGCACCTTCACTCTTGTAGGCCTCTACTCCAGTGTTTGGGGGGCTCCTATCCTTGATCAATGAGCACAGAATCCTCAGTGGCCGCCCCCCTCTTGGCTTTCTCAACCCAAGGCTCTACCAGCAGCATGGGGCAGGACTCTTTGATGTGAGTGTGGAAGGGAAGGGTGTGGACATTTCCATACAACTATGGGGAGTACTAAGGGGGACTTGGGGGCAGTTGGGGTGGTATGGAACAGCCTCTGAAATATGAATACAGGATGAGGAGGTATACTCTTTAAGTATTGGTACTAGCAGGCCCAGATCTGATGCCAGCCTCCTCCCTAGGTAACCCATGGCTGCCATGCATCCTGTCTGGATGAAGAGGTGGAGGGCCAGGGTTTCTGCTCTGGCCCTGGCTGGGATCCTGTAACAGGCTGGGGAACACCCAACTTCCCAGCTTTGCTGAAGACTCTACTCAACCCCTGACATTTTCCTATCAGGAGAGATGGCTTGTTCCCTGCCCTGAAGCTGGCAGTTCAGTCCCTTATTCTGCCCTATTGGAAGCCCTGCTGAACCCTCAACTATTGACTGCTGCAGACAGCTTATCTGCCTAACCCTGAAATGCTGTGAGCTTGACTTGACTCCCAACCCTACCATGCTCCATCATACTCAGGTCTCCCTACTCCTGCCTTAGATTCCTCAATAAGATGCTATAACTAGCATTTTTTTGAATGCATCTCCCTCTGCATCTCATCTTTCTCTTTTCAATCAGGCTTTTCCAAAGGGTTGTGTATAGACTCTGCACTATTTCACTTCATATTCACTGCCCAATTCACTGCAAGGAGACCTCTACTCTCACCTTTTACCCTTTCCTACCCTGACATCCAGAAACAATGACCTGCAGTGCATACTTCTCAATCTTTGCTTTATGGCCTTTCCATCATAGTTGCCCACTCCCTCTCCTTACTTAGCTTCCATGGCTTAACTTCTCTGACCACTCTTGTCTTCCTCCCTCATCAGCTTCTGCTACTTCATGGAATGCTGACCTTCATTGCTCCATTTGTAGGTTTTTGCTCTTCTCAGTTTACTCATTGTCCCCTGGAACAAATCACTGACATCTACAACCATTACCATCTCACTAAATAAGACTTTCTATCCAATAGTGATTGATACCTCAAATGTAAGATGTGTGATATTCAACATTTCATCTTCCACCTTCCCAAACCCAAACAATTCCATCTCTGGTTTCTTCTTGGTAAATGATGCTATGCTTTTTCCAACCAAGCCAGAATCTGTGTCATCTTTCCACCGCATCTTCAATCAACAAGTCCTCAATCAACAAGTCCTAATGACTGCACCTCGTACCTCTTAAATATCTTTATCAGTCCACAAGTCCTTCCAATGATATTTCCCAAGTATATCTAGAACTTATCCACTTATATCCCCACTGCTACTACATTAGTTTAGGGCTACATTCTCTTGAAAAGTACAGTGTCCTTACTTCCGGCCAATCCCCAAATCATCTTCCAGAGTAAAATGCAAATCCCATCAGGCCACTTGGATGAAAACCCTTCAAGGATTACTGGATAGAGTTCAGGCTTTTTATTTTCTTCCCCCAATCATAGCTCACAAACCTTCCTTGCTATTTGTTTCTAAGTAACAAATCATTTTTCCTCCTCCCTCCCCAAACCCCAAGGAACTCTCACTCTTGCTCAAGCTGTTCTGTCCCCTTAATACCACCCCTGATACAAACTGCCTGGTTAATTTCCAGAATTCTTACAAGATTCAGCTCAGAAGTCACCTTCTCTCGTGAATGTTTTGATTCCCTGAGGCTACTTCATTTTGGTATGGCTGAAAAATCCTAGATTTTCTAAACAAAACCTGTTTGAATCTTGGTTCTGATATGGACTGGGAGAGAGACTGGGTCAAGCAAGTTTATCTCCCTGAGGCTGTTTCCTCGTCTGTTAAGTGGGAATATTACCTGCCTTTCATAATCACCAGGGAATAAAGTGGAATAATGTTGATAAGAGTACTTGGCACCTGGAAGTAGGTGGCAGATGTTAATGCCCTTCCTCCCTTGCACTGCGACCCCTGTGTCTACCTCTAGTATTGTAACGACCACATAGTATTGAAATAGCCACTTTACTTGTCTGGCTTCCTTTCCAAGACCGTTGGTGCCTAGAGGACTAGAATCGTGTTCTATTTAACTTTGTATTCCCAGGTCCTAGCTCAGGAGTTGGCAAATAAGAATTAAATATCTGCTACATTGAAAACCTCACGCCTTTCACTCGTTGTGATTTTTGCATACGTTGTTGACTTAGGCTGAAACCCCTCCTCCTCCTACAGCAGCACTGTGGGCCACCCCACTGCTGCCCCCACCTCTCGGGGCAGTTGGTGGAGAAGGGCGGGGGGCTTTCCAAATCCACTATGAATCCTTACAAGGCTGAATAAGGGAACTTGAAAGGATGCAGACAGGCAGGCAACCCGTCCGTAGTCGAGGGATGTAGGGCCCATAAACCTCGAAACAAGGTCTTGAGCGTCACAGAATGAGGTGTCCCAGAGCGGCGGAAGAGTCCCGGACGCACGCTGCTTCTAGTCTCGACGGAATCGCCACGGAGCACCGCAGAGGCTAGGGCGGAATGGCGACGGCAGCGCAGTTCGCCAAGGCTTGGTCTCCGCCCTTCAGCCTATTTCCTCTAACCCGCAGACCCACTACCGGAGGAGGCGGGGAGCGGGCTGGAGAGCACTAACAGTGACAGGCGGGGCGAGTCGAGGGCGCGTGACGTCACCCCGGGGTGTGCGCGGCGCGAGCGGAAGCGGAAGCGGCTCTGTTCGCCGCCTCTCCCACCGGCCCGATGAGCTGCAGCGGCTCCGGCGCGGACCCCGAGGCGGCGCCGGCTTCCGCCGCCTCGGCCCCGGGCCCGGCGCCCCCGGTCTCGGCTCCCGCCGCGCTGCCCGCCAGCACCGCTGCGGAGAACAAGGCCAGCCCCGCGGGGACAGCAGGGGGGCCTGGGGCTGGAGCAGCTGCAGGGGGCACGGGACCCTTGGCGGCGCGGGCCGGGGAGCCAGCTGAGCGGCGTGGGGCGGGTGAGGGCCTGACGGGTGAGGGCGAGGGAAGCGTCTGGGACTGGGCCCCGCGGCGGGTGAGGGCAGAGGGTATAGACAGACCTCGCTGGGGCCCTGCGCCTCCCACCTCTGTGTCTCATTTTGCTGGTTCTCCTCCAGCTCCGGTGTCGGCGGGTGGCGCGGCGCCCCCAGAAGGGGCCATGTCTAACGGGATTTACGTACTGCCGAGCGCGGCCAACGGAGACGTGAAGCCGGTGGTGTCCAGCACGCCGTTGGTAGACTTCTTGATGCAGCTGGAGGATTACACGCCTACGGTGGGCTTCCGCCCGAACAAGGCCACCTAGCCTGCTGTCACAACTTTCAGCCACATCTCCGTGCTTTTCAGCACCCTCTGATGTTTGCTTCCGTAGTCGCTCTTGTTTTTGCCCTCTGCTCACCCAAATCGTGAGCTTCCTGATAACCAGGTCTATCCGACATTTCCCTCACCCTCATCCCACTCTGCTGACAGTTCTCTTAATTGATTTCTTAGATCCCAGATGCAGTGACTGGTTACTACCTGAACCGTGCTGGCTTTGAGGCCTCAGACCCACGCATGTGAGTAAACCCAGGGCAGGTTAGTTTTGGGTGCTTGTGCAGTGTGTTGTCCATCTCCTTCTCATCTAAGTTTTTTCTCTCTAGAATTCGGCTCATCTCCCTAGCTGCCCAGAAATTCATCTCAGATATTGCCAATGATGCCCTACAGCACTGCAAAATGAAGGGCACAGCCTCCGGCAGCTCCCGGAGCAAGAGCAAGGTGTGAGGGGAGGCTCATTGAATCACTAATTACCTTCCACAACAGTGGAAGCTTATCCTGCCACCCCTTTGGGGAAACTGCATCCTAGGGGAGGTGTAAAACTTAGGGTCACCCATCTGGGATTGAAGTGTGGGATTCCTGTGCTCAGTTGGTGCTCTTCCCTCTTCCCTCAGGACCGCAAGTATACTTTAACCATGGAGGACTTGACCCCTGCCCTCAGCGAGTATGGCATCAATGTGAAGAAGCCGCACTACTTCACCTGAGCCACCCAACCTAAATGTACTTGTCTGTCCCCATGTCCCCACACCAGCCTGTTTTCATAATAAACTTTATTGTGACAGGCGGGGCTGATCCCTCCCATGTTGGGAGACACCATGTGGCAAGTGACAAAGCTCTGAGCCCGCCCCTTTTGGGGCCACAGTGGTAGGGATGGGGGAAGGGGATGGACCCCATGGCTGGGGTAGTACCATGACTGGAGGCAGGGGAGGCAACCAGAGGTCTGCTGCTTTGGGGAGGTGCATTCCCCAACCATGTCCTGACACCTCTGGAGTTCAGGCAAGGACCTTCCGGTCCTACTTGTCCTGCATCTTCTCCAGGATAGGCACAATCATGTCAAATTTGGGTCGCTTTGCAGGGTCTTCGTTCATGCAGATCTTCATGAGCTTACACACATGAGGGGAAATACCTGGTGGGATGGTAGGCCGAAGGCCTTCCAATGCCACCTGTGAATACAAGAAAAAACTGAGCCTCACAATTTGAGTCTGTCATGTAGAGAGAAGCCACTGGCCCCTGGGACAGGATAACTATATCCGAACAAATATGAGACGAGCCCAGGCCCACTACAGTTATTTTCACCATAACCAACCACTCCCCCAACACAAATGTATGCTGTTCTGCTCTCACCTTCATTCCAATCTCCATATTGGAAAGATCAGCAAAGGGTACCTCCCGTGTCACCAGTTCCCACAGAAGCACTGCAAAACTCCACATGTCTGCTGAGCGTCTGTTTGTGTCTTCAGGCTTCTTCTGCAGAGCTAGAGGGATAGGGCTTGTCTGTTCTGGCCCCCTGGCCTTTCCTGTCTCTGCCCCCTTCCACTACTTCTGAGGTGATCCTTTTTCACCTCCCAACATGATGACTTCACCCACCTTCAGGGGCTACCCAGGCAGGTGCATACATGCGACCAGGACATTGGAAAGAGAACTTGACATCAGCCATGCTAATTCGGGCAGTCATGTCCTCATCAATCTGAGGAAGAGAAAACAGAAGGAGGTAAGTCATAGATAGGCAAAGGACTTTTGGGGCCTGGGCCAGGAGTGAGCTTGTGGCCTCACCATTACACTACGGCTATTGAGCGCATGTCGTGGGATGAGGGGCTCTAGTGTGTGTAGGAAGGCCATGCCCCTTGCCATGTCCAAAGCAAACTTCACAGCCTGGCTCTGGTCTACGACGAAATCTGAGAGGAAGCAAAAGTTCAAATAGTTCAGAGAGGCTCATGCACCCTCTCTCCCATTTCCTCCCCAAGAAAATTCAACATCTCTACTCACTGGTGCCTTCATGTAGTACATTGTAGAGGGATCCATATGGCATCCAGTGTGTGATGAGAGTAGGATGAGGAGCAGGTGGAGACTGACAGGCACCTAGCACTGGGAGCACATTTGGATGCGAGAAAATCCTGGCAGAGGGAGGGAGTGGTTGAGACAGAGTATAAAAGATCTCTTTCAGTGCTATTCAGGGTTCCCTGGAACTAGCAGCTTCCAGGTTACGCCTTGCACTACCTGAGCCGGGGACACTCTTCATTGAAGTCCCTGCTCTTCCTTGTACTCCAGTCTCGAACCTTCAGCACCTTCACGACAATGTCATTGCCCTGCCAGCGGCCCTTCCATAGCTGAAGAACAGGTAGAGGTTAGGAGGCTTTTACTGTTGCTACCACTTCCTTGCCCTCTAACTGGAGGAAAAACTTAAACCAGGTACAAAGCAGGTAATTTACGGGGGTTTAGTGAGGGAAGGGCAAGAAGGGCAGGGGTCACCTCTCCAGAGTGATTCTCGTTGAGCTTCGTCAGGAAGTTAAGCTGTTTGAAGTCAATGCCAGAGTGTTTGTTCAGGGTTCCATTTCCTAAGAGTGTGGGCAGGTCAGGTACCCAGCTTCACCCTAACCCAGCCCCAAGAGGCCAGGATTATCTCCTTTTACAACCCTTCTTCCCACAGTGGTGACTCACGGGGCCGAGTGCGGGTGGTCCCCTTCCAGAATGTGTCCTTGTATGGAATACGGTTGAGATTCTGGCCCATCTTCTCTGCCCGCTCTAGGGAAGAAAACCAACGTGAGCTGTGGTACAGAGGGAGAAGACAGGTGGGAAGGGACAAGAGACAAGCTAGGGGGTGGGGAGATGGACCTCGGAGAAGCTCTCTCAGGGGTGCCTTGGCTTTGTCCACAGGCATCTCTCCATACTTGTTACAGATGCTGACAAGGGCCCCATTTGCCACCAGGTCCTGGAATGAAAAGGCCATTATGATGAGAGCCACTGCTGCCTCGCTGGCAGTCAATGAACCAACCATGAATGCACAAATGTACTTAATCCCGTGAGTGTCACACAGTAGTACTGGCAGAATGGGTTGAGGGTTCCAAAATCTCCCACCCAGGCTGACTTTACTTCCTACCCATCTCAGGACTTGAGGGCTGAGTACTCACCTCTGCCACTTGGTCTTGTCCCCAAAAACAGGCATAGTGCAGGGGCACATTCCCATGTTCATTCACTGCATTGATGTCTGCCTTGTACTGCAATAGCTGGACCCCATGGCCAGACAAAAAGAAGAGGCAGAAGGTACAGTCAGCCTCAAATGAGATACTGGTGTCAGGGCACGGGAAAAGGGGGAAGAGTACACATACTTTCTGCTGTATGTTACAGTGCCTGTGACTGACCCTCATGGCATGTATGTGATGTGGATGACGAAAGGGTTTGTACGTACCTTCTGTACAATATCACGGTGTCCATGACTGGCTGCCAGATGCAGGGGGGTGTCATCCCCACGGTTCATTACATTGATCCGTGCCCCCCGCATGATCAACATCTCAACCACAGCAGAGCGGCCCTCTCGGCAGGCCCAGTGCAAGGGGGAGAAGCCATGATCGTCCCTTTGAGGAAGGGGCAATGGTCATTGAGCTGGAGGTGGGATGGGGCAAAGGTTTTGATTCCTGAAAAACTGATAATTACATACTCTCTGGGAAGGCTTACCTCTCTAGGACTTTGATTCTCATTCATGCCAGCAACTCCCAAAACTGTCCATTTTGGACCTTCCCCTGAGCTTCAAACCAAACCGACCACCTACATACCTCAACGACCTCTATAAAAAATTTTGTTATCTTCACCATATCCCACATCTCATTTCATTAGGTGGTAGCGCTCTTCCCCTGGTTTCTCCTGCACCCCTTCTGTAACATCTATTGGTTCTTTCTGTTTTCCACCACATCTTATATATACCCCTACTTCAGCACTTGTCGCACTGGATTGTAAAAATCTGTTAGTGGACTGTCTTGTCTGTTAGATTTTAAGTTTTGTGAGGGAATGGATTGACAGCAGCTGTTCGGTGCATGTTAGTGGGGAAGAAGGGTGTCTTGGACAAGGCAGGCCACAACTTATAAGAGGGAACAAACTTACTACTTGGCTCTGGTACTGAAACTAACATCTAAAAATGGAATGGAATTTAAATGATGTTTTGGAAGGGTTTATATTGAAAAGGAGAAATCCTTTTGACTACTGATGAGGCAGATAACAAACCACCATGCAAAGCAGGATTCCCCTACTTAGCAATCCTGTGCACAGAAAACAGAAGAAAATGAGAATGGCTGTTTTGGGATGAAAACGATACCTTATTTTTTTCTTTTCCAAGAGATATGTATTTTATAAAGTAAAATAAGTATACAAACAAAATAAAACAATTGGTTTGGAGCTGAGCCTGCCTGACAGCCTGGGGCCATAAAAGGAAATTCCCTCTAGTTCGGGGCTGCAGATTCAAGGGGTGGAGCAGGGGGCGGTCCGTGGTCTGGGCCAGCAGCCTCCGGATGCCTTAGTGCTGTGGTCACTTCCTGTGTGCGACTCTAGGCAAGGCCTGGAGCTGATCAGGGGTCTGGCCATCCAGATGCCCCTACAGCTGAAGGGGTTGGGGGTGTGGCCTTTTACTTAATCATTTTCCTCCACAACTTGCTGGCATCTGCTAACACAGAAATAGCCAAAAGCTTTCCCCAGAGGTGGGATATCCCCAGGAAGCATTACACCCACTGTTTATCAGCTGGTCTTGCCTCCTAGACCTTTAATTTGTGCCCTGACTTATCAGCTTCCAGTACTGGGCAGGCCAAACTCTGGGGGCAAAAGTATGGGCACAAGGGTTCTGTTCACTATCAAGCTGCCTGCCACCTCAGGGCCTGGACTTTTATCTCAAGGAATTCTGCTAGGAATTAACCCCTTCTTCATATCCAGCATACAGCCAACTTAGGCCCCCATACTTTACCCCTCAAACCAGCACCACAACCATCCAGTTTCATTAATGCCACCCCTTTTCCTTCTGGCAACATCTTCCTAGAGTCTTCCTAGATGCTAGGTCAACTGGACAACTGCCTAAGCCTGTATTTCCTCACCAACAAAATAGTAACAGTGCTTACTGTCTTTATCAGGGTACCCTTTGAGAATTATGTGAAAAATGGAACAAATGACTTTGCAAAGTATTAAAGATAAATAGTGTAGAACCTAATGGGAACCAGTGAAGTCTAGACTAAGATGACAGGTGATCCTGACTTGTCAAACCTAAAAACTAAACTCTACCAATCTTAAAAAATAAAGAATTTGAATCTGCCACCCTGAGTCACCATCACTACTGCTCTTCTTGCCTTCCTATCTCAGCCAACCTTGTAGAACTGGTCTACATTCCCTTTCACTATTTGCTTACCTCTCAACTTTTCTTTTTTTTTTTTCTTTTTTGAGATAGTCTTGCTCTGTGGCCCAGGCTGGAGTGCAGTGGCACGATCTTGGCTCACTGCAGCCTCTGCATCCAGGTTCAAGCGATTCTCCTGGCTTAGCCTCCCAAGTAGCTGGGATTACAGGCGCACACCACCACACCTAGCTAATTTTTGTATTTTTAGTAGAGACAGGGTTTCAATATGTTGGTCAGGCTGGTCTCGAACTCCTGACCTTGTGATCCACCCGCCTCGGCCTCCCAAAGTGCTGGGACTACAGGCATGAGCCACCGCAACTGGTCTACTTTTCAATCTGCCACAAATCTGCTGTCTTGAGAGCAGAGATTATGTCAGATTCTGGACTCTAACACCCAGCACAGAAGGTGTTCATCATAGTCTCTTAAATGAAGGAACCCAGTGTAGTCTGATTTCTTCACCCATTATTCTGAAACAGTACTCACAGATCATCAAATACATCCTAACTGCACATTGGGGGAACAACAGACGCTGGGGCCTACCAGAGTGGGGTGGATAGGAAGAGGGAGAGGATCAGGAAAAACAACTAATGGGTACTATGGCTTAATACCTGGGTGATGAAATGATCTGTACAACAAATCTCCATGACACGAGTTTATCCATATAACAAACCTGCACATGTACCCCTGAACTTAAAAAAAAAATCCCAATTGTAAATTCAATGGCTACTTTAAAATATTAATGTTCTTTGATCTCTCAGTAGCCTGAACTGCTGTTGACCACCTCCCCTTCATTAAAACATTCTCTAAGCTTTACTGACACATTTTCCTATTTCTTTTTCAACTTACAGCTGCTCCTTTTCAGTCGTGCAGGCTTCCTGTTTCCTGACCTCTTGCCTTCCACTCTCCTGAGACATTCTCCTTCACACCCATGGCTTCAAGTATCATCTATATGCTGATAGCTCTCAAATCTGTATCTCCAAGTCAGATTCCTCTCCTGAATTGCAAATCTGCGTAACCAACAACACACTCAACATTTCTACCTTGCTGCATTGTCACCTTAACTTTAACACGTCCAAAATAGAATGCCTCATCCTCCAGTTTTCTCCATCTCAGTAAAAACAGCCACCATCTATCCAAGTTCCCAAGCCAGAACCCTGGTCCTCATCTTTGCCCTTACTCACTCCCCACCAAGTTCCACAATTCTTTGTCCTAAAGACTTCTGGAATTTGATCACTTCTCTTTTTCACTCACCCTAATTCTAGTCCAAGACATCATTACTTCTACGATGAACTAGGCAACTGCCTCCTTTCTACCTGCTCTTCACAAAGCATCCAAGATGATACTGAAAAATGGACAATCTCATTATGTCACTACACAGCTTTAAAACCTTGCTTTTAAAATAAAGACCTTCTTATAGCCTAAATATGCTTGCATGATCTGGCTGATCCTTGCAGACCTCTACAGTCTTATGTCCTGTTCTTCTCCTCTTGTACCCAATGCTCCGACCCACAGAGATCATCTATCCTCCAGCTATATGGAACTCCAGACAATTTCCTGTTCTCTCTGCTCTGTGCCTTGCCTCCTAGCCTTTGCCCATGCAGTTTACTGAGGCTGGAAAGCTCTCTGCAGCCTCTGCCTGTGAAACTCTCATTCAGCAGTCAAGATTCAGCTCAAACTGCGTCCTCTGTGAAGACTCTCTGCCCCTCACAGGCTGTGCTTAGCACTCATTACACTGGCTAGCAAAGGCAGCCGCCCCCACCAGACATGAGCACTCCACTCCACGTAGCCAAGAGATATCTAGCCTTCCTCTCATCCACCAACCGCTTCAGCTCACCCCTGGTTGAGATCGTTCTCCGTGTTGTCCAGCCACAGGCGAACGGCGACTGCGTTGCCCTCCCGGCACTGAGTGAAAATGTCGTCCATAGCAGCGTCCCGGCGCCGAGTCCCCTGGATTAGGGTAGCCTGAGGACTGTGGGGTGATCCAGGGAAGGAGGATGAACCCCAAGCTTTATCCTCCACAGGAGAGAAGTGTTTGTGTTGGGGGTAAGGGGCCTGAGCTGCGTCCCCGGCTATTGGGGGTCTGTGAAGGAGTTTGTGGCTGCGGGATGATGCCCGGCTGTGTCCTCTAGGCGCGAGGTAAAGGGGGGTCAGGGGAGGCAGGTAGTGTCTCCTGAACGGATGTCCGAGAGTAGGCAACTAGACCCTATCCGCGAATAGAGTTGGGGGAAGTGGGGAGGTTCAGGATCCGTATACGCTGGGGGAGGGGACTGGGGGTCCTCCCCAGGGTTGGCTCCGTTCCTTACTTGGAACTCAGGAGAAGTGAGGGGTGACAGGTTGGCAGGACCCCTAGTCGTGGGCAGGGGGCGCGGGTCCTCTCGCACTCACCGGGACTCGGGCTGCAGGCTCCTTCTCCGGGGAACTCCCGTCCGGCCGCGCCCGCAGCCCGACGCCGGCCCCGCCCCGCCCCTGGTGCTCTTGGGCAGCGCGGGCCTCCGTCCTTCCCCTCCCACCGCCTCCGTGCCCTTCTAGCCGCGGCTGGCTGAACTCGATGGTTCGCTGCGCTGCGCCGACCGCTCTAGCAACCCCTGGCTGTCACGCTTTGGTTTCCGGCTCCGTTCCGGCGGGTCTGAGCGCTGCGACTCCCGGAGAAGAACTCTGCACGTGGAGAAGATCGGGGACTCCGCGACCGTGCCCTCCGGTCCCTCATGTTCGAAGAGCCTGAGTGGGCCTCGGCGGCCCCAGTAGCCGCGGGCCTTGGGCCAGTAATCTCACGACCTCCTCCTGCGGCCGCCTTGCAAAACAAAGTGAGTGACCCTCAGAGGCTGTTTCAGGCCGCGAAGCAGACGCTGGTGGATCCCAGCGCTGTGTGTATTGCAGGGAGGGACACCTGTGGCACCGTTGAGGGCGAGTCCTGATCTAAAGATCCGAGAATTTCCAAAAGAAACTGACGTTGGGTCAGAGAGAGTTGTTGAGTAGAAGCTGGGGAAGCGAAGAGGGTTCTTCAGACAGAGAAAAGTACGTACAAGGGCCCTGGGGCAAGACAGCATGTTCTGTTAGAGTCACACACACAAGTGATCCTTGTGGTTGGAATACAGAGTAAATGAGAAGGGATGCTGTTCAAGTTCAAGAGGTAGATTAGAAGTTTTGCATATATTAGAATAGAAGCCAATGAAAGGTTTTAAGCAATGGAATTATTTCTTCAGATTTGTATTTTGAAAGGGTCATTGGTTACAGTGTGGAGGATGGATTGGAGAAAGTAAGAGCTGTCAGTATCATTGTTCAAGGGAGGGTGTGGGAAACTTAGAATCAAGGTAAGTGCCTGGCCTAGGATTACCCAGTAGGACTGCAACACAGAATCAGCCTTCTCCACAGTACACCTTCTCCTTTGAGCCTCTCAGATGTGAGGGCGGTACTTCCTCAGGCTTTTCTTAGGCTTCAGTCTGCCTCCAACTTGGAATCGACCTACTTTGTTTCCTCTTTTTTCATCCCCTAGCCCCATTACCATTGTCCAAGCCGCTGGCCTCTCTGCAATTTCTCCCCTTCCGTTTTTTTTCTACACTGCAGCTAGAGACATGTTAAATATTTAATATACGTGTGTGATCATGTACCTCCTGTTCAGAAACCTCCTTACCTCTTTTGGGAATGTATCAACTGGAGGCAAAAGCTCAAGGTGAAGGGTTGGAACTCCTGGTCTCTGGCCTTGGTCTTGTTGCTTGTGGCCTTAGCACTTTCCTTTGGGAAAACCTCTATTAACTCATTTACACATTGAAGAAAGTGGGATAGGTGGTTTCTCTGCTCTCCAGCTTCCCAGAAGTTGGGGTGGTGACGTGAAAGTTCTTCTGGGTTCTGGCAGGCTTGACTGCGAAGAATTCAGCTGCTTCTGCTAGTCTGAATCAGGTCGACATCTCTCCCTTCTTATTCTCCAGGCCTCATCCATTCTCTTTAGGCCCACTGTCGCCCCTTGTTTTCCCCCAGGGCTCCAAGTGCCGCCAGCTCTTGGCCACATTACGGGCCCTAGAGGCAGCATCTCTTTCCCAGCATCCCCCCAGCCTACCTAGCAGTGACTCTGAGGAGGACGAGGAGGAAAGGAAGAAGAAATGCCCCCAAAAGGCATCGTTTGCCAGTGCCTCTGTTGAAGTAGGGAAGAAAGGGAAGAAGAAATGTGAAAAACAGGGCCCACCTTGCAGTGACTCTGAGGAAGAAGTGGAAAGGAAGAAGAAATGCCACAAACAGGCTCTTGTTGGCAGTGACTCTGCTGAAAAAGAGAAAAGAAAGAGGAAGTGCCAGAAACATGCCCCTATAAATTCAGCCCAGCACCGGGATGGTGTTGACCAAACAGGTACCATTGAATGTGTATATGTCTGTGTGTCGGGGGCGGGGGTAGGGAGTAGGTCAACTGATTCTACATACAGCAGAGGTTATTGACTGCCATTAGGATTGAGGTTAATGGTGTACTCAGGCAATAAGAAGTACTTTTATGCAGGCCACAGTCACTGTTTCAAAGACAGAGGTATGGCTGGGATGACTTGCCATGACCTGAATGTAAGAGATTTTGCCTCAGGTGCACCTTCCCATCTCCCTCCCTGCAGGTCCCAAAGCCTGGAAGGGTAGTACTACAAATGATCCACCGAAGCAAAGCCCTGGGTCCATTTCCCCTAAACCCCCTCGTACATTAAGCCGCAAGCAGTGGCGGAACCGGCAAAAGAACAAAAGAAGACATAAGAACAAGTTTCGGCCACCTCAGGTGCCAGGCCAGGCTCCAGCTGAGGCCCCCACAGAGAAGACAGAGGTGCCTCCTGTCTCCAGGACAGACAGCCATGAGGCTCGGGCAGCGGATTTGCGAGCCCGCATGGCACAGCGGCTGGATGGCGCCCGATTTCGCTACCTCAATGAACAGCTGTACTCAGGGCCCAGCAGTGCTGCACAGCGTCTCTTCCAGGAAGACCCTGAGGCTTTTCTTGTCTACCACCGCGGCTTCCAGAGCCAGGTGAAGAAGTGGCCACTGCAGCCAGTGGACAGCATCGCCAGGGATCTTCGCCAGCGGTGAATGGGGGTCAGGCACTGTGAGAAGCCATGTGGTGGGTCAGTAATAGGCTCAGATCAGACCAATATGTGACCCTTGCCTTCCACTCTCAGGCCTGCATCCCTAGTGGTGGCTGACTTCGGCTGTGGAGATTGCCGCTTGGCTTCAAGTATCCGGAACCCTGTGCATTGCTTTGACTTGGCTTCTCTGGATCCTCGGGTCACTGTGTGTGACATGGCCCAGGTAAACTTATATGTTATCTGGCTTGTGCTCTAGGCCCAACCTCTATATGCTAATCTCTAACCCTTCCTTCCCCTTTCCCATCCTGGTGTCTCAGTGCTGGCTTTCTTCTTCTGCACTGTGTGTCGTATACAAGACTCTCACTCTCCACAGGTTCCTCTGGAGGATGAGTCTGTGGATGTGGCTGTGTTTTGCCTTTCACTGATGGGAACCAACATCAGGGACTTCTTAGAGGAGGCAAATCGAGTACTGAAGCCAGGGTAAGAGCCCCCAGGACACAGATGTATGTATGTATGTGTGCATGCATGGGTCTGTGCATTTACACAGAACTTTCTGTCCTTCTCAGGGGTCTCCTGAAAGTGGCTGAGGTCAGCAGCCGCTTTGAGGATGTTCGGACCTTTCTTCGGGCTGTGACCAAGCTGGGCTTCAAGATTGTCTCCAAGGTGAGGGCCCCAAGAAGTCTGTACCTGTTTTTGTCTCATGTGGCCCTTTTCAGGATACTGGTGTTCAGGAAGGAGGCTTCATGCACAGGAACACACATTTTGCTCCCCAATGGAGGTGGGAGCCCTGGGAAGCTTTCTGAGCAGAGGCAGTACATAGAGGGAGGTGTTTTAAGGAGTTGGGATGAGGATTTGGTTCTCACTGGGTCTTTTCTGCCCCTAGGACCTGACCAACAGCCATTTCTTCCTGTTTGATTTCCAAAAGACTGGGCCCCCTCAGGTAGGACCCAAGGCTCAACTTTCAGGCCTGAAGCTTCATCCATGTCTCTACAAGCGCAGGTGACCTCTGGATCTTCCTTGAAAGGGGAGGCAGAGCTCAAACTCCAGGCTCACAACTGTGAAGACTATTTCCAGCCCGGCTATAAGCCAAGACCTGGTTCCTGGTGGACCCCGAGGACAAAGTGTGATAAAACCTCTGACTCAGCCGGGCACGTTGGCTCATGCCTGTAATCCCAGCACTTTGGGAGGCCAAGGCAGGCGGATCACGAGGTCAGGAGATCAAGACCATCCTCCTGGGTAACACGGTGAAACCCCGTCTCTACTGAAAATAACAAAAAATTAGCCGGGCTTGGTGGCGGGCGCCTGTAGTCCCAGCTATTTGGGAGGCTGAGGCAGGAGAATGGCGTGAACCTGGGAAGCAGAGCTTGCAGTGAGCTGAGATTGAGCCATTGCACTCCAAGCTGAGATTGAGCCATTGCACTCCAGCCTGGGCGACAGAGCGAGACTTTGTCTCAAAAAAAAAAAAAAAAAAACCTCTCAGACTTGCTGTACTGAAACCTTCTTGGTTATAATATGCATAAAGTCACTGGGGCTAGCTAAATGATAAAGAGTTTATTGTGAGAACATGGGGATATCTGTCTGTTTCATGACACTTTAGGTGTCATGAAAATTAGATGGTTTGGAATTCAAGGCATCTTTAGGTTTGGCTTCTCTTTCCAAGTAAGAAGCCACATGGCCTTTCTGTCCTGCTATCTCCACTCTGCTGTCATCTGATCTGTCTACAGATCAGCTTCCTCTGCTCACTCATAGTTTCTGCTCCTTCAGCTTCAGTTTGCCCAGGCCTTTAAGGTTGCAGACAGGCAGCTGTTGCTGCTTGACTCTGAGGCAACTGGTAGTCCGCCAACATCCTGGCTCAACACGTCAGTCTGAGCCACTAACTTGAGACTGTTTGGATGTCCCTGTACTGAGCATTTCTAGTGGTTTATCTTTCCCTTCTCCCCTCATCTCCATCTTTGGAACCATATAGCATCAAGGCACTCCCAACACGTATTATCCTGTGGGACTTTGGAATGTTTATGGCTGAGAGCACGGATTTTTGGAATCAGGTAGACCTGGATTTAATTCCTGGCCTGCTACCTAGAGGCACTTAAAGTCATTTAATCTCTGTGTATCACATTGCTCATTTGGAAAATGGTAGAATTTCTATCTTGTAAGGTGGTTGTGTGGATTAACTGGGGAAATTTGTAGCCAGGGCTGGGAACATAGGAGGTGCTCAGTAAACTAGCTATGACTATTTTATGTTGTAAGCCTTATTGTTTTTTGAAGATGTTCCCTAGGCTAGTTGGAGGCTGAGGGGTAAAGAATGGATTTGTTGACTAAGGAAGCCTCTGGGAGAGGCTAGGCCTTTCAGCAGGCTTACTTCATAGGCTATTTAATGACTCTTAATGGATTCTGAGCTTCTGTCCTTGGAGGGGTAGTGAGGGAGCTGGGTCTCTGTTCGTAAACAACTTGTTGATGCCGTGTGGGGTTCGGGGCATTGGGCTGTTCATTGGTGGAAGAGTCTGTCCATTGTTTCTGCCTTGCAGTGGACTCAGATCAGCATGTCCTGGGAAAGCTAAAGGCAAGGTGCTGAGGGAAGGTGAGTTTGAATGATAGATTCTAGGCCTCCCTGAGAAGATATCTGCCATGTGTCTAGGTGTAAAGATATGGCCTCTTGTACTTGCTTCCAGGAATACCTGACAGCACCCATTGGGAGATCATAGGTTCTATGGCCCTAAAGCCAGTTGAATGCCTTTAATAAGGGGATGGAGGTTTTGAAACAGGCTGTAGGCCAGAGGGCATGTTTGGAGGCTGGGCTGTGAATCATTAAACAGGCACTGCACAGTGCCTCTACGCATACTGTTCTTTCTGCTGAATACTCATCTGACTGGCAATTTGCTCACCTTTCCAAATAACCTAGTTGTTTCCTATTCTACTCCCAAAGCAAAATCAATTCTTCATCTGTACTCTCAAAGTACTATGTGAAGAGTGCTACTTCAGCTTCTAAATATTGCATTGTGATTCGTTTGTGCATTTGGCTGTAGTTTTCTCAAGCCGTATTTATCTTTATATTCCCAAAGCTTGTCATTTGAGATATAGCCAGTGTACTTATTCACCTAGGGAGAGATAAGGAATGACAGGGTCCAGCTGAGTGGGATGGGTGAGAACAGGGGTGTTATAGAAACCCAGGTTCTAGGGCACAAGATGAGGGCACTGTTGACTAGTCATGATGGAAGAAGTAGGCAGACAGGAGAACTTCATTAGGTAGAATTGGTGGGATGCCGAGGATGGTAAGAGAGGAATCTGAAGTAAGTTCCAGGGTTCTGGCTTGAGCAACTGTGGGTAGGCTGGTGATGCCATTCAGAGTGTTGGATTTCAAGAAGTGGGACATGCGTGAGATCTGTACTAGGGGTCTGGGCATCAGCAGCCTAGACGTGGTAATTAAAGTCAGAATAGATGAGATATTCAGGGTAAGACAATAAGAAGAGAAAATGGCTCAGAATAAAACTGAGGAACCTGTCATGGATGGATAAAGGAAAATGAACCAGTAAAGGTGATGGAAGAGGAGAAGGTTCACCCAGAGATGTAGGAGTAAAACCAGGAGAGTTATTGTTATTATTTTTTTTAAGACAGAGTCTTGCTCTGTGGCCCAGGCTAGAATGCGGTGGCATGATCTTGGGTCACTGAAACCTCTGCCTCCTGGTTCAAGCAATTCTCCTGCCTCAGCCTCCCGAGTAGCTGGGAATACAGGCTGAAGTCACCATGCCCAGCTAATTTTTGTATTTTTAGTAAAGACGGGGTTTCACCATGTTGGCCAGGCTGGTCTCGAACTCCTGACCTCAAGTGATCGGCCTGCCTCAGCCTCCCAAAGTTCTGAGATTACAGGCGTGAGCCACCACGCCCAGCTGATTTTTTTTTTTTTTAATATGGGAGGATGGGCAGGTTGTTAGCTGTCGAGTGCTGTTGAGATGAGAGAGAACTTAGAATGTAGTGGGGTAAGGATTGCTGAGTAATGTGGAGGGCGTATTTGAGGTAAATGGGAGTGGTAAGAGGTTGCTCCATTGTGAAAACCCTCTTCCAGAGTTCCTGATAGGGCCCTAGAAGTTCATTTCTGGTTGGTTTGATTTTTTTTTTTTTTTTTTTTTTCCAGGAAGCAGGAAGCCAATTTATCATTTGAGAGTGAGAATGGGGGGGAGGAAGTATCTTCCAGGCCCACAGGGCACAGAAATACCCAGTCAGGCCAGACTGATTTATCTCCTTACCTCTCCTCATCACTTGGGCCCAGAGCAATCAGCAGTGATTAGGTAGAGAGGAGCTGAGGAGAGCAAAGAGCACACCAATCCCTCCTCCCTTTCCCAATGCAGGCTTCTAGACTTAACTGGGGCAGAGCTGGGAGGGGAAAAAAAAGATTTAAACCTGCAACAGGTGCAGATTATTGTTACACAGGATTAGACATTCTAATTGAGATGCTTGCTCCTTAAACTGATCACAGGACTATCAAGAACATCGCAACCTAGCTGCAACTTTTCTCCATAGCAGGGAGAGTACCTCCCAGTGAATAAAATTTGGAGGGGTGGTAAGAGACAAGAATAAAATTGGGTTTGGTTATCCGTGCCTCATGCTTGTTCAGCATCCCTTTTAGAGTTCTCCGAATAACTAGTTACTGCTTCTGCAGTTACTGGTGTGCTCCAGCTTCTGTTCCCATAATATAGTCCTAAGGGAACACAGTTCTAAAATAAACAACATGATCTTGGCAGAGACATCGCTCAGCTCCAAACCCAACCATTTATGTAATTGCACAAAACTCTCTAGAGCTTTTCACAGATACCAGTAATTAGAACCTTTCATCCGTAAGTCATCCTCCTTCCAGGTGAATTCTCATCCAGGTGAATTCTCTGACCAGCCATCTGGTGTTAGGATACCCAACTCCTGCAGTAACTGCCTTACTGGTCTAATTGCTTCTACTCCTGTCCCCAAAGCAAGTAATTTTCCACACAGCCATGTGATCTTTTTAAAATGCAAATCAGCTTATGTCACTTCTCTGCTTAAAGTCCTTCAATGGATTCTCACTGCCTCGAGAACAAAAGACAAACTCTTCAGGCCCTGTGTGATCTTGCCCAGGCCTCCATCACCATCACCATCTGCATCTTAACCCACTCCTCCCCTTTCACAAAACTCCAGCCACACAGACTTGCTTTTTATTCCTCAAGCTTTCCAAACTGTTTGTACTGAGAGTCTTTGCACGTGCTCCATCTTCCTTGAATACTGTTTCCCCAGTGAGCTCATTTTCATCTTCCTTCATACCACTATTACCTTTGCTTCTGTGGAAGAAACTGGCCAGATGCTCACCGAAATGTCCTCTTTGTGGACACAGGTAAACTGCGTTTCCCAGTTCCATGCATCTAGGTATGTGTGAGTAGTTCTCACCAGTGGAAAACGAGTGGAAGTGATGTTTCAATACTAGACCCCTTTAGGGTGGCTGAGCCGTTTCCATATTCTCTTCCTCCTTCCTCTTCAAGGTAACCTTGAAGCACATGTTTTGACAGTGTTGGAGTCATAGCATAGAAGAAGTCTGAATATCTGAGTTACTATTTAGACCGTAACAGCTACTTGACCAAGAACATCCATGTTGGACTTTGAACAAGAAAATAACCTGATTACATTCTGCTCGTGAGTTTTGAGGGTGTTTTAGCAGTTATTATATACACTGGATATATCTTCTATGGTATCCTGTCCGCCTTACTCTTGACCACAATACCCTCTTTGTTTCCTTCAGGGTGTTTCAAATATTTAATTATCTTGCTAGATGCCAGTCAACACTTTCTATTTGTCCCATGAATTTCAAATCAGGGGAAAACATATACTCCCAATAGGGAGTTGAGATACTCTTTTAAAATCAGTCATTGTGTCTGTGACCAGAAAAACAAATCCCACTAAAGAATGTCCTAAGCAGATTATTATTATTATTTTTTTTTGTCATATAACCTGGAGTTAGGTGACTTGGCATTGGTTCAGGAGCTGAAGGATGTTAGGGATGAGGTCTCTGTAGTTTTCTTGTCTCACAGTCACAAAATGAAGTGTTTTTGATTAAGCAGGGATGCCCTACTTAGTATCAGACTTCTTGGAAGTCTCCCTAATTGCCACAGCCCCTATCTTTTTGGCTTCATTTCAAGGGTCCTTC